ATAGTGATAGACAGAATCTTGAAGCTTATTATTTAAATCTAGTTTAGTATTTAAATCAAAACCCGAAGGCTCTCTAATGACATTCTAGGCATATTTCAATGGGTTTTTCATTGTTGTACAGTCTATTGTCTCCTAAAGAACACTATGCCGAATATCAACAATTCGTACCTGAACAAAAAGTATTTTCTAACATTTAGTCTATGTATGCTCCGTTCTCATGCTCAAGCATGTAACGTGATTACATTATTGTATGAGGTCAAAAAGTTAAGTCTAGAGATTGAAAACGGTTTTCAACATCATGTCTGAGCAAAACTCTTCCACATCATTGGCAAAATGTGATTATTAATGAATTTTATCACCGAACAAGAAAATAGGGTTGAACACACAATCTGAGTTTGAGCCTGAGAACGGTTTCCGCAATGCAGGCCTTGGTATCAGCTTCATTGTTCATTGGGGCACTGTTTCGAGTATACATTGTATATACGTGTATATCTTTGAGTTTGTATGGGTTCCACATACGTGCTTTATATTCTAAATGTAGTCTAATAATTGCCTTAAAACGTTGTTTGAACATTTTCTCATTTAGGTACATGAATGAGCTCCTTACAAGTGTACTATTCGCTTTGTTGACAGTTTGCTGTTTGTGGTGTAAAACACAGCTTACAGTCAATCAGAACTCTCCTATCCTTTATGGATTATGCAACTCAACTTGAGCCTGTGTGTCTGTTCCTTCCATGTAACAACTCTGTGCCTACTAGTCGTAGGGTGTACTTTACCAGAGGTGAAATGGTTACAACCAAAACAACCAAAATGTGGACCATTGGTTTGAGTTGTTACGGTTCAACAAGCTCTCCTGATGTACAATTTAATTTATCACATAATGTACAGTGTTATCCAGTGAATATACCGATGTCATATTTATTTGCATATTAACCCATGTAATATGACCTATCAGCCCTGTGATTGGTTGTAAGTTTCAATTGTTTCAATTGTGACGTCACGCCTAGGACAAGTACATGACGTCATAGACTTACGCACTGGAGTCAAAATGACGGCTTTTTACATTTCAAGGTTGCATGAAAATTGTCGTTTTACACGAATAAATGCCACAAATCTTGATTGTGTGATAAAAAGGAACTCGCACTCGTACTCGTTTTCATTTTTTACAAAATTTATGAAACTTCATTCTAGCTAGCCAGACTCTCGCTAAATTGAAAAGTTCTTAGACTTGTTTCATAATTCTCATATGAAATAGAAACTCATGTAAGATTCTATGTGTACCAATCCACTACACTACTAGCGTAAAATAAGGTTTTATGGCTGATGCCTTCATAGAAACAATTCATCGATATTATGACATGTCAGTCACTTTTGTAACAAACTGAATGCTATAAAACGGCACTTTATCTAAAGTAAATGTATACACCTATGTTAGCGGGTCTTATTTCTCTTTTACAAACTGTCAAGAAGTATGACGGCCTCAAATCAAAATGGGTTTGACCAGTCTAAACCACAAAAATCATCTAAATGTCCCAGTAACGTATTTTGAACAGCTTATTAATGTAAATCAAAGATTTCTATAACCTAAACAATAAATTAACTTTAGGTATGTGTCATTTCATAACCTTCAGTGTTGTTCTAAATGAACTTAACATGTTATAAACATTGTAAATAGAAAGCACAATGGGGTTTATAGCATGTCAATTGATCTCATTCCTGACAACACTACTTGTAACGAAAGGACACGTTATATAATTTCATTATCAACCAAGGTCACACTCTTCTTGGTTTTATATTTATATCCTGTAAAAATATATTATCGGAGCATTTTACAATGTTTTAGAGGTTTTGACTGTCCATAACTACTTAAAATGAGGCACGTATGCCTCTTAACAGCTAGCAACGGAGAAATGAAGCTCCGCATGGCCTTGGTAAATAAATGAATTTCAGATAAGGTGTTATTTCGTAGCATTCAGTTGGGCTACAAAATAGACATGTTACAATGTCTGTACGCTATCTTATGAAGGCTTCAGTCTTAATGCCTAATTATATTACAATTCGTTCTATATCATTTGAATAACTGAGGTTTAAATTCCATGTATCCAACTTAAATATTTCAATGCCGATATTTTATCTGTACCTGTAAATACAACCCTTTGATTTTATTTCATTTTAACAAATCTATGAATAAAGTTTGCTGAAACGAAATGATATCATGGAGTTTGAATTTACGATGACCGTGCCATCTTTTAGGGGACTTAAGATTATATTATTGCAGTATTCTTTTACTCTCCTCGTATCCTTATTTCCCTGTGTAGATTTGTGTCATCGGCAAATAGATTGGTTGACTAGAAAGTACATTCTGGTAGGTCATTTATAGAAATCATCAATAGGATGGGTTCTAGAACACTACCTTGTGATATTCCGCTAACTCAAGGATAATCATAGACCCTATCTCGAGTCCTTTCATTTTTCTTTGGCTCATTACTGTTTTATACTTTTACAGTTTTGCCATTCATTATGTTACTTCCCTATTAAATCCTCGGTGGGGAACTTATTCGATAAAAAGTTTTCATAAAATTCCTGAAGATTTCATCAATCCAATCGTCTCTGTTCCAGGTAAATTTTGGAGCACAGTTGACCTTTTGATGAAAAATCGATACTGTTTGAAACTTCCATTCCTATTGTTTTTTTCTGACAATGCTGGTTAAACTGACCGGTTGATAAAGTTCTTTTTGATTTTGCACTCTTTGTTATTAAGAAAATGCGGCAATTACTGGCTTTTATTCACGCCGAAAAGAGTATGCCTTCCGGTAAATTCGGTGCCATAGGGTGTATCTGATCTGGACCGGGTGAGTCGTTACTATCTAAATGTATCCAGTACTTTTCCAATGATATAATTTGATTCTTATATTCTATGTTTCTTTCACTTTTTCTATCGAGATCCCTGAAGGCCATAGTGCTGATGTGGTTGCTAGTTGGATATTGGGTAGGATATGGAAATGACCAAAGCGTCACCCTTTCGTCATATACTACACACAATGTCAGGAGTTTTCAGTGAAACAAAATCTGACTGTGATGAATTGAGAGCGGGTGGTGCATCATTTGGACGCAGTTTATAGGATGTGAAATAGATATGGTCCGTGTAAGGCAGACATGGCGCGTGCCGGACGGACATGGATGGGGTAGGCTCACGCGTTTGCCCTTACCACACACATGAATATGATCATTTATTTATTTTGGTGGTATTGGTGTTGACATGCGCATGTGAGATTAGTGTCTTGTGTCTGAATTAAAAGGATGGCATGTGTAACTGCATTGGCATTGATAAAGCATCAACCGGTGACACTTTACAAAAACATATAAATGAAAATAAGTCGATTTCCATGTTTTAAAAGTTTACATTCTGCACTAGATAGCGCCTTTTCGGTTCATTGAAATCTACACATGTCTGTGTATCTCTATAAAACGTGTACGAGGAGCTATGTTTATTTGTCTGCAGTCTATGTGACACCGTCAATAATTTACGCAGTGCAAATTTTAGACTGTTTATTTTATCGAATTGCCTACATATGTCACGTTTGTGTTGCTAAAATAAACATCATGTGTCATGTATATAAGTATTGTTTTCACATTGGATGAATATAAAGAATGCTACTATAAATATAGGTATTGATTTGTACCTTTGAACAGTGTAATACATATTTTAACTTTAACTAATGTTGATCGCAAGCACAATGAACATCAGTTTATGCAGTTTATGCAGGGATGTGTACACATCCCTGGTTTATGTAATTAAAATTAATTTATATAATCAGGATCAGCTTATGTCATTTTTGGGGCTCTCCGCTGCAACTATCATTAGACAATCCTTCAATACGAATAAATTGAACTAAATTTACATACATCAATCGCATCCTTTTAAATATCATTCAAAATCAGTTTCTCGTATAACGTGGCTCACATGATTTCCGGGTTGACATAAGAAATATGTAATACAGGAAATGCTAACCTTTCCGGACCATGGCCACTTCCGGGTGTATTGGTTGTTGTGGGAGTTTATGTTGTTGGTTATTGTGGGAGTTTATGTTGTCTTTCGTTTTGATGTATTCTTTGGTCCTGTTATTGTCTTTTTGTTTCTCTGTTGAGATCCGATTAGATCATACGGCCATTCTGTTGTCACACTTGGGTTTTGTATTTTCTTTTTAATTCTTTTATATTTTAACATATTTTATTAAATGTCAGTACAAATTGATTGATTTCTTCAATAAGGGCAATTAAGTTTGTAAAGTTTAGTTTTGGAAAATTCAGGAATCGGTTTATGTTCCCTCTGAGACAGTCACACTGATTTTATCTTGTAAATATGTAGCATCGTCTTTGATAAAGATTTATCAATTTAGAAATATCCAAGAGTTTTGAAAATGTGTGTTGGCTGCAAAAACACTTTCTGTTTGATTGTCAACAAATAATCACTTTAACATAATGATATCAAACAATAAACTGTACATCGATTTTTTTGACTGTGTCAACATACTGGGCATTGACGTTATCAATAATATACTTTGACGTGATCAATGCAAATTACGTTGTTTTCATTTCATATAACGATGTTATCGTGATAATACATTATTGATTTCATTTAGGCCTATTAATGCCACTTTAACAATAAAATGAATCAGTCTAATAAATGAAATTAATTAAATTCCATTCTGGTGTACATATTAAGAATGGTCTTAGGTTTGCTCCCTTATTGTAACCTTTGTCATATTTTTCTGTACGTATATTGTTCAAAAATTATCATATAATAATAGTAAAGTGACATTCAGTGACATAAAACTAGCAATCTTTCGCAATAAAATGAGCTGTTCTGGCTATTTGGGCGTTCATGGCTTGTATAATCAGACAATGTCCCTTCGTACGATCGACTACAGCAAAGACCAATGCCAGCGGTCCATGGGAGGTAATCACTGCAGAGCGCGAGCGGGACCACAGGTCCCGGATGTTCAGAAGAAGAACAACAGGGTCGCCATTTTCCACAAGTCTTTGACAGCTACCGCCATTGGCGTCATAAACCTTAACTGATCGAACTACATGGATAGCAGATAAAAGCGATGTACAGTTCTCTACCGGAGCGTTTACGACAATGGTAAGTGTAAACAAATCGATCCGCTGAGTTTGTCTTGCGCAGATACGATGGTGAGGTGTGCTGATGGTCGCGGTTGCCTTCCTCTGTTCGGCACAAATGAGCAGATTGCGTGGCGCTTAACTCGATACAAAAGTTACTTTTGGTTGGAATTATGTGACGAACATGCTTGATATCGGAGATAACTGATATTGTTATATGTTGAAATGATCGAAAGTGCAATTTGAAGTGAAGCGTCAATTTTAGCATTTGTTCGCAGCGACGTCCGTGACGTGCGCTCGGCACGTAAAACGTTCTATGATGTCATTCCGAATATTTCCGAGGTTCTAATGACGTTTTCTGGTGTTTGTTTTGTATATATGAACACAATTTTATCACAGAAGGGAAAACGTCACAAGGATATATTTGTTTTGTTTATTTGCGTGTTTAAATTCAAACGTAAGAGATGACCTACTTAATATATATAGTTTATTAACTTTTCATACTTTGACGTTGTTCGAAATCTTTTCGCAGTATTTTGTTTTTAGCAATACGGCAACAAAATAAAAGGCGTTTTATTTTATTTTTTTCAATTACATTGATTTATTGTTGGAAACTTGTTTGGTTTAGTTCCGATGGATCCAATGAAGGAAAGTTTCTGAAATTACCTAATATTTTTTCAATGATCACAAATAAACATGTTTATTTAGGGTCCCTAACCGACCCTACTTTTTTCTATCGACCAAAACTTTCAATCAGGGATGTGAAAATCCACTTGCACAATGCCAAGAAGAACCGGTTTCAGAGCTTGAGAAAGTGCAAAATGTTGCTTAAGTTGCCCTAGCAAATGCAATAGACTGGTTTCTTTCAAATGCTTATTGCATGCGTTTTCTGTATTTTGCCAACAAAGGATGAAAAAATAATTTACTGATCTGACAATAGTTTTGTGGGATACACTAAAAAAATATGAATCAAACAAAAAAATTGTGAAAAACAAATTTATTTTTCGTCTTTACTAAATGTTGCGGAACGAATACTTGCAGTCTTTCCATCAACTCAGACCATTTTTCAGACTTAAATATTGATAAAATAATTAAAAAATCCAGCTTAGATATAAAATAGGGATAAATAAAAAGGATTTTCTTACTTATTGACTAGTTCAGGGATCACTCTAGGCCGCAATATTGTGATATTTACCCCTCTTTTTCAGAAATATCGCGCTAAATTTCTCTAAATGAGATTATATATCTCATGGTCTTTGTCTGTGGATAACTTACTTTCTGGGTATACACGATTTTAACATAAAAACTCATAATGTCGTCTACAATCATGTTGGACTGGACATCATTACTTCACACTCAAACTTCATGCGAATTTAAAGCGGAAGCTAAAGTCATTGTTTATCAACCACATCTACCTGTACACCGAATCGTAATCACTCAAACGCTTGTTTGTTAAACGCCTGTCGAAGTGAAGTGTTGAGGTGATCTAGACCTCAATATGCCTTACGTAGAATAAACATATTTAGAACGGTATTCCAGCAATTTAATTTAAATATATCCTTCAAAGTTATTTAGTGCAAAGTTATTTAATGTAACGGCAATATTTATATATATTAAATGTTATTGATTCTAATGTCATATATATATTAAAAAATCCTTGAATAAAAACCTAATTGGTATTTTTTGTTTTGTTTTCAATATGTCTGTTTTCGTTTTTGATAGTAGTGAAGCCCTCATAGCAGACGCATTCTGTATTCTTTCAGATTTTAGAGTTTCAACTTTTTATGTTGTGTAGTCAGACATCCAAAAGAATTTATATATATATAAATATGGACTATGATCTGAATATATAGAGGCAGATATGTCTTTGTTCAGAATAAAATAAGTTAAAGGCATTTTCTGATTGGTTAATACATAATTTGCAGAATAAAAGGAGACTAAAATGCAAAAAAATAAAAAAAATATAATTAGGATATACAATTTTTGAGGAATTCGCAGGAGCTGCCTTATCAGGCGCTAACTACTAGTCCTATGCCACCTGGCTAATATCTCCCTATGTATGTATGCCTGCGTGTGTGCTGGAGAAGTGATGTATATCATTAAATGATTTTTGCCTGAAAAACACATGTTGCAAGCAGGAAATTGCAGTTTTGTGACTAATGACCAGACAGATCCAAAACTTGGATTTCAGGAATAAAGAAAAAAAGATAATCGTTAATAATGATTTACAAATACAGTAAATTATTCCACCAATGCAATTTAATAATAATCTACATTATAGCGTTGCAGTTACCGAGAAAAAACAAGCCCTAGAATATTTCATGAAAATAAATATTAATTTAGAAAATATCTGTCTATTTGTCTGCATAGTATGTGTTTTAGCTTAAGCTGATTCCACATGTGGAATTTAAATCTAATTAAAAAACACTTTTCCAAATTTGAATTGCATGCAACTTGCCAACATGCTGTTGTTTCCTTGCGTCAACTGCTAGAAATACAAGTGATCGTGTAATAAAAGAATGAAAATCTTTCAATGTCTTTTGAAGAAATACACATATATGGGGTATTATAATTGAATGTGATATTTGTAGCAGTTTCTTCAAGCCAGCCATGAACATCTTCAGAATGTTGATAAGTCCCATTGCCATTAAGGAGATATTGGGTTCTTATAAGAAGTGTGCAAGCCCCCAAGTAATTTAAAAAAAACACTGTTTGACGTCATAATTTGCTTTCATAATTTCCATTCCTGAAGTGATTCATATATTATTGGGTTGGTATTAGGTTGCCAAAATAATATTTCTTCAAAGACCACTTAAGCAGAGATCTCCACTGATATCCTGGCAATCTTTCTTCAATTAAAGTCAATTTGGAAATTGAATGATTATATGTTCCTAGTACAAACTATTATACTTGCCATCAAGATACGTAATTAAATAAGGTTTGGTAGTAAGATCATGATCAGTTGTCCCAAAAGTTACATGTTAAATGCTTGTCCTACGGTCAAAGTTACTGATATCCACTTGCTAACTTTCAATTTAAATTATCACAGGCAGATCTAAGGCAACTACTATAGCAGCAGTCAAGATTTATTGTGCTGCAATATATGAATACTCATAAATATGTTGACACAATGGTGAATGTGCTTCCTGTTTCTGAGGGGATACCTTGGTGATTAACTTTTTTCTTTTCTTTATATGGCACTGCATTGGTTCCTAATATAACTGTAGTTTAATAATATAGTGTGTTTAAAAGTGAATTCAACTTAGTAAAGCAATCTGCCTTTTTTTGAAGATTTAATCATGGCTGTATCATAGAAATTGTATACATGTATGGATGGAAACATAGACACTATAATTATCTGAAGATTACAATTTTGCTTTCATTAACATTTAAGTACATGGTTATATATTTTGAAATTCATGTATGTACTATAGTCAAAGCACGAACATAGTTAGCAATCTTCAATCTCTTGACAGTTCCATTTAATTGCGTGGTTGAGGTATTCAGCCCAACCGATTCCTTTGTCACTGTTCTAATTCGAAGGCTGTGGTGTGTGGAGGTCAGTGACCGGGAGGTTATATTAGTCGAGGTTAGATGTGGGTCACACTAGGGTGGCTGCTGCGGATCTGTTAATTATTTAAATATCACAATGGAACCAGGGATTACATATATAACTGTAGCGACTTTATTAAAATTTTGTTGTTTATCTTTTAATTAGTTAAAATTTAATAATACAACTTAGCTATAAGATATCAGTGCTGAAAAAGGTAACCATATATTCTGACACCAGCTCCATGTGGTGTATTTTATGGATTGAAAATGTACCAAGACTGCAGTACGTTACTCATTGTCTTACTTTTACAATTCTGATGATCAGTGAAAAGAGGCGGGAGCTAAAGAAAGAAAAAGCAAACTGTACATGTGCTCAAATAATTCAAATGTTTACAGATGTAATTATATGACACATATATATATAGTCTTAATGTATTTATTTCTTCATGGAAAATTGTAGACCTTTTCCTGATAGTTTTCCATTTTTCATTACACTGAAGAGGTTTTCTATTCATCTTGCTTCATATAAATGTGTATGACTATATAATTATACATCACATATGTTTTACCTAATTTAAATTAATATAGGAATTTAATTAATATTAAACTTAAAATCGGTTTGTAGCTATCTGTTTATTACTAAAACATTTATCAATATAAAAGTAAAATTTCATCCTGCTTATATATATGTGTGATTTGAGCTTAAAATAATTGGTCAAATCAATTCAGTCCGATAATATATTCTGAAATGAGTTCCTGACTTTAATACTGTTCTGTATTCTGAAATTGTCAAAACACTCCTTTAAAACCTAAAACTAATATGATTTCCTTGAAACACATTTGGAACCATGGACATTTATCTTTTAAGTAGGTAATGAGTTTTCTATAGCAGGGATATAACATAACAACTTTAGCTACTCTAGTGCTATTTACAGTCTGAAGTACAATAGACAGTATAATGGAGAGAGTCTTCCCTTCAAGCAGAAATCATTCTATGCCCTCTAGCTATTAGGCTCTGTGAAGGTAAAGGTTATCTATGTGACGAACCCTGGACATCACACCTGGCTACACTTTCTACAGGTGTATGTTAGTTGTAGTGTTATATAACCAGATCCTTATCACATGTTTGACTGGGTGTCTAACAATTATATGTAACTGGTGGGGATATATATGGATAGGACATGCAGACTCTATAGCTGAAAGGGTGTAAAACAACACTGTAGTAAGCCGAGATGACTTCCTGGTTTTGTAGGAAAATTATGTTCCTGTTATACTAATGCTTATAATGTAAGTACCTGATGCAAGTTGTATGATGTGTTGTTATTTCTTTTAGCTTGAAAAGTATTTAAAAAACCACACACAAAAGCTCCTGGGATCTATATAATCTGTGTTATATTAGATTTAATACTAGCATCTTGATTAAAAAAATACTTCCTTTAATGCATTCTGTATTTGATCTATGTATATATATATATATATAAAATAAAAGTTAGTTCCTTTTGTTTCTACTTTCAATCCACGGAATTATAATATGTTTCCTGTGATAAAGAACAAATGTGAAGAGTTAAAGCAAAGTAGCAGGCGTATGAAAAACATTTTTAATAAACATGCTATTTTACACTGTAGACGCCAACCTAAAAACTTGAAACGTATGTTGACATGTTCTAAGTTTGATAATTCTTGTGTAACACCAGAAGTATTCAAATGTAAGACACCAAGATGTGCTACATGTCCTATGATTATCGAGTGTAATACTTTTATTTTCAAGAATGGTTTGAAATTTACTGTGAAGGTAAATATGAATTGTAAATCAAAAAAAATATTATGCAATCGTTTGTTCTTAATGTGGTGATTTTTACATCGGTCAAACCGGTAATGAACTCAGAACACGTATGACTGTACATAGACAACAAACTAGAACTGATTCTTTACGAAATCTTCATGCTAACAAACATATTCATGAATGTGCTGGAGATAAATTTAATGTATTACCTTTGTATCAACTATTTTCATCAGACACTATTTTAAGAGAAACGAAAGAAGACCAACTAATCAAAATATTAAAACCAAGTCTCAACAGGCCACAGTAAAATTTTACGCCAAATTGTCCACCAATCTTGTGTACTTCGTGATGTCACGTTACTATTGTAGTGTGATGACATGTAATTGTGACGTCACGACGTTGTTCTCTTTTGAATAAACCTGAAGAGCCCTGTGAAGGGTGAAAGCAGCTAGTTTTTTAGTCAGTCGTTAATCTTATTTTTTCTATATATATATATATATATGCAAAAGAAAATGCATTTGTATTTGATAAGAGTAGTTAAAGGGGCTGGTCGGGGAAAAAATGTCATATTTGCTAAAATGGCATACACATGTTTAAAATACCTTCTTATGAAATATACCTATACAAATTTTGCTGAAGTTCACTCCCTAAGAGTAAAAATTACAATTATATTAAAGAAATCCTAAATCGTCACCTGACAGTCTAAAACTCAATTGATCCAGATCAGTGATGTAATTTTATCGCACGCGCGTCATCGACAAGGCCAAATGTAAACATCGCAGCAAAAGAAAAAGATGCATGCAAAAGTCATGACAGGCACGAGCTATCAATACCGTTATATATAACAACAACATATATGTAGGAATACTACACTTGCATCATACATGACCTTTGAAAATAATTATTTACGTATAGTATTGCTGTCTTGTCCGCTAGTTGAGTCCGACATAGCACATGAGGGCGTGCTATTGTTGTTATCTTACTGCCTCACTTTCGAAACAACCACGTGACATATATAAATAGATCTGCGCTAAATTTACGCGGGGCTTCCCCGAGATTTCAGTGGTCAAAACTGGACATTGCAAGCAGAACTCGACCATCATATTGTCGTGGTATAACTTTTGGAAGGCCAGAGAGCGCATTTAGACCCATTCATTTTGTATTTTTTTCCCCGACCAGCCCCTTCAAGTCCAATGATTTAATAAAATTTTCGTCTTTAGACTCTAAATAAACCTTCCAACTCAAAATGTCACTGTGAAAGGATAAAACAAAGAACTACTGGGTATTAATAATTGTAAAATTCTCCTTTGATAAAATTAAGGTAATTTTTGTGTAAATATATTGTCAATTTAATTAGCTTTATTGAATGCATTGCAATTTTGTATCAAAATTAAATGCCACATAAGTATGTACTTCATTTACATTTGAAACATTCCCATTGAATTGCATGAAAATCACTTTTCAAAAATCAATGTCTCTTAATTCAAGTTCTATAAAAGGGAATTAATAAATGTCTTGAGTATAAAGATTGAAGTATTATTTATAGATCTATACTAATGCTAATTGACACATTAGGTGTCTAACCAAGGTGACTGGCCATTGTACTGTGGAGGGCTTATAGATAGATATCTTCTATATACATGCACTGTCCTTAAGGACATATTGACTTAAGCTTTAGGGGATTACTACACCATGATTTCCTGGAAAGGTGACATTGCTCTAGAATAGATCTACCTTGTCCCAACACAAACCTCTGTGACACATTATTTTTTTATTTGTAGCACATAATACAATATTATGATTTCATGATAATTCCAACACATATAAAAACTATATGAATACCTCATGAATAGTCCAAGATTATTGTGATAAAACTTACATAATGCACTTCCCTTGGCCGAGTCTTGCTGGATTGGCACTATAATACTTACTTCGTTTTATTGTAGAGAAGAAGCAGAATGCCAGAAGACACCAAGCTTGGAATGCACCCCTATTCTGCAGAGGGCTGTCAAATTCCCCAACTGCCCACCCTCTCCATTGACACCATGACACTGGTAAATATATAACCTTTGCTGAGGTGTTCCTTGAACAGATCTTGGTAGCAGTATACAGAAGAGGGTTGTGGCCATGGGTGATATTTTTGTTAAATGGCTAACCCCTGTATAATGATATGTAAAAAAATTATAAAAATAAAACTCTACTAAAATTGGTATTTATAAGCTTGATGAAGTGGGCTATGCTTCACATTTGTAAAAAAAAAAAAAAAATTGGTTGGAGATCAAAATTTTGGCCATAATCCGAAAGGGGGACACATGAAAAGCTAGCTTTACAGGAGGTAAAATTTTGACAACAGCACATGACGCAAAATTGCAAAAAATCAAGTTTGACAACTTTACTGGGACCCAGATAATTCTGCAACCAAGTAGGTAATCTTTAATTTCAGACAAAACTTAGGAAAAAAATTACTAGTTGCGGGGTCAAATTTTGGGTCCAAAATAGCAATTTTTGGCATTTTTTTGTAATTTTTGATGTGGTAACCATGGTTTTCAAATCAGTCACATACATAGAAAAAAGAGGTTTATACACTTCTCAGTACTTTATATGTATTGTAAATGTAATGCAGTTTACAAATATATTATATACATGTGTTGTGTAGGGTAAATCCGCTGTGTTTACATCTCCTCGACATGTGCCTTGTTTATCAGAGTCGGGCCATTTCTACTTTTTATAAGATTTTAAGCTCCATTCAGGTTTAGTTGTAATTATTGAATGAAATGTACGACAAACAAGAAATTGAATATTGTTGAACTAATCGGGTACATAGGTGTGTATAGGAACTGGGTTTGATTTTAATTTATCTGTTGTACAAACAGGAATCCATGAACTAATGGCCTTTTAAATTTTTGCTCAGTTAATAATGTATGTAAATTAAACAAGATGGCATTTTATGGAATGGGTTGTTAAATGTCTGTTGTACTTGAAAGATGTTCAGAAGTGTTTTTTATGCCCCCGCCATAAAATGGGGGGGGGGGGGCATATAGTGTTGCCCATGTCTGTCGTGTCGTGTCCCTTCCCGATTCAGTGTAAACACCTGTCCTGCCCCGTCCAGATTCAATGTAAACACTTAGCAACTTCATTCTTTGACAGATTTTGGTCAAACTTTATACAAAGGTCAAGTATGAGTATACTTCGGATATCGGTGTGTTTCAAGGAACCAAGGTCAAGGCCAAAGTCACACTTGCTATATATAGAAAATCATCAATTGATTCAATTTAAACACTTAGCAACTTCATTCTTTCATGGATTTTGGTAAAACTTTATACAAAGGTCAAGTATGAGTATACTTCGGACATTGTTGTGTTTCAGGGTTCCAAGGTCAAGGCCAAGGTCACTTACTGTTGCAATATATAGAAAATCATCAGCTGATTCAATTTAAACACAAGTTTACCAACTTCATTTAATATGTTATGGAGATGGTAATAACATACAGAAAAAAACATATGAATATTAAAATCAACTTATCATCTTTATGTGTAGTACCTTGTGTGTGTACATGTTTCAGAGTATCAAGATCAAAGTGGTTGTAACTTTTTATAGAACACTGAAACTAATTTCACATGGCAGCGTTTTTTTTTTATTTTTTTTTTTATTTTTTTTTTTTTTTTTTTTTTTTTTTTTTTTTTTTTTTTTTTTTTTTTTTTTTTTTTTTTTTTTTTTTTTTTTTTTTTTTTTTTTTTTTTTTTTTTTTTTTTTTTTTTTTTTTTTTTTTTTTTTTTTTTTTTTTTTTTTTTTTTTTTTTTTTTTTTTTTTTTTTTTTTTTTTTTTTTTTTTTTTTTTTTTTTTTTTTTTTTTTTTTTTTTTTTTTTTTTTTTTTTTTTTTTTTTTTTTTTTTTTTTTTTTTTTTTTTTTTTTTTTTTTTTTTTTTTTTTTTTTTTTTTTTTTTTTTTTTTTTTTTTTTTTTTTTTTTTTT